GGTAATATATTATCCCTGAAGTATAATTAGTTTAAGGTCATTGCAAGCGAGAGTGAAAAGTGGTTTTACACTTCTTAGAATTTAATTTTCCTTAAGTTTTCAAGAAGCCAACATAATAAAAAAACCCACATGACAAAATTCCACGTACCACACTCCATAAAATCTTACATAGTAATTAAGCACCACTGGACCACGATACAGCAAATCCTAGCCCTGCACATTGCCAGGTTCATTAATCAGCTTCATTTACTTTGGAGCAATTTAGAGGTGAACAATGTAGAGCAACAACAACAACAACAAAAAAAGGTATTTAAAATAGAAATATCCAGTGTAGAAGGAGCATTAGAAAGAATTAAAAATGGAGTTTTGCCAGTTCTGTTTGGGGAGGGGGAGGAGAATGGGAAAAATTACCTTTAGCAAATAAGGATGGAGTGATCCACAAGAAACCTGGTTGCTACCAGAAATTCCAGTTTTTCTCTGTAACCCCTCATTGCATCCACCAGGTACTTTCCATCTCATTTGTGAATACCTCATAAGGGGCACCTTTGCATATTTACACCTTCCCTCTCTAGAGATACAACCACATTCTCCTAGGAATGATTCCAGTCACAACAGAAGCACTGCAGCCCACAAAACTGTTGATGGCCAGATTAAGACAGGCTCAGAAAAGAGCTCACTTTACAGCAAACCTGCAGCAAATTCAGTCAGTACTGGGAAATGAACCACCAGAGCAGCATCCTCCCACAAGGAGGGGAGGTCACCTTTGTTCCCTTCCCTAGGATCTCTCCATCTCTTGTCATGTCAGAGGACAAAGCACAGCACAAGAATCAAACAGGATCCAAGTACAACTCTCAGCACAGGAAAACGGGTGGATGCCATGCATAAACACTGCTGCAGTCAATTTAACAGTCAAGGCAGAATGTGAATTATCTTGGACCTGATTCAAGCACGGTATAGAGGTCATCTCCATGGAAGAGTCTGCATCCTGCAAATCCCTGGTAGTGAATGGAGTTATGGCGAGACTCACTGCCTGCTCTGCACACAGAGCACACTGAAACAGGGAATGTGCTTTTGATGATGTAGAAATTTGGAAGGAAACATTCACAATCTTTGTCATGTACAAATCAAATTAAAAACTAAATATCCAGGATTACAAGCGTCCAAACACCAGGATCAGATGCTTTCAGATCTTCTGCTTCTCCCCTTTGAACAGCCACTTGCCAGGGTGGAAAATTTAATGTAATGAGATCAGCTTTGCTATTTTAGTCTCAAAAGTGCAGATGGAGCATATGCCTGTAGATAGTAATGTTATCTGTATTACTGCAGTGTCTGAAGACCCCAATCAGACACAGGCCACTGAACACTCAGAGAAAACTCTCGAAGACAATTCCTGCCAAAAGCAGTTCACCATGTGAGCTAAGGGGAAAATGCAACCTGTGACTTTAATTAAACCACGGAGAGGAAACAAGCAAAAGGATCATAGATGGACACACAGTCACGGTCAACTTTGACAGCATCCTCCAGAAAACAGTTATAAGTATGTTCTTGAAGGGTTTTGTTTATTTGTAACCTGTAAGTTATGTTTTCCAAAATAGTTCTTTCAATCTTTGAATTACACTTAAAAAATACCAAAGAAGCTGCGGATTTGAGCTGGTCACTTGCTTACTTTGAGAGAACTCTCAATCAGCTGTAGTAATAAGAACATTGCACCACATTATACAAATACTATTTAGACCACAGAGTTTCACTGAAGGTTTCAACTCACTTGTGATCTCTGCTGGCACAAGGTCACATCCAGCCTCTAGGCATATGAAAACTCTGTTGTACACTGCACAGTAAATACACAGCACATAAACCAGAAGGAAACATCTTTCAAGATTTCATGCTTAGTCCTCCCTGGACATGATTTTTTTTTTTTTTAATTATATTCTACCACTTTAAGCCTGCAGAGTTAAAAATTGTACTATGATGACAATATAATCAACCTCCATTATCTTCTTCAAAACCTCTATTTTAAAAAGAAGACTTTGGAAATAGGGTAAGACATAATCCCCTGTGAAGTTCTGCACGTGCAAACTAAGTTACCTGATCTATTTGCTTTAAAATATCACGGTCCAGTCCTCAGTGGGGGATATCAAGATTTTACAGAATCCCATTATCATTTATGCTGTATTTTTTGTAAGATGACAGGTGCTTTGAAATATCATTTTTTCAATTATGCAAAAAGTGGAGTTTGAAGTAATTTACTGAGTAACATCTGTCATCGTTTTCAAGAGTCAGTGGCTGATACAGCAGAACTTAGGGACTGATATCGTTAGGGATAATAGTGACTGCATAACTAGTAATCACTGCTAATCTAGTAATTGGCAAGGTGACATGCAGCTACCATAGTAACAAGCATAAGATCAACTGTTTGCTTCCAAGAAATGCCTACACTTCACTCAGCTATTCTGCCACACTTTTTAAATTCATGACAGAGAAAATAACAAACACATCAGGCATTTTGGAACTTGCCTCTGATTCGAAGAAATCCTTAAACAATATATATATATATAAAGCACACTTTTATTACAGCTGGGGAAATGCCAGGGGATTTTGTCCCCCCATGCGTGTCCGCTGAGGAAAGAAACACAACAGCTTTTTATACAGTGAGTTTCAAAATTATCTACACTCTTTATGAAGTCTGCCTTATCTAAATAGACATTTGGTTGCCTACCTCCTATTCTTACTCTTATAGAGTAGTTACATAAAGTTTTATCATTTCAAAGAGCTTAGGTTCCCCCCACCCCTCCTTCTATCTCCCTTGCAATGTTAAGTGCTAAAAGTCTTTCCTGCTTTCCTGACAGTTCTTTTGTTTAGTAAGCTAGCTTTATCTTAATTGCCCACAATTTTAAGCTGCAACCTTCTTTCAAGCAGTTACAATTTGCAGAGTCACATTAACATAGTTAAATTTACTAACATAGCCAAACTTTTATTTTATTTTGTCTTGTCTTTATTTCACCTCTTTCTCTGCTTTTCTTTTACAGAAGAGAGAATTCCTCAGAAGAAGAGTTTCACTGGTTTTGCCAAGATGGTCCCATTTCTGAAGAGGAAGCAAAGTTTCTGGAGCCACGATCAGGGACAGCTCCATCAATCTTAGGCAGGGAGAGTGCACAACAAACACCAGAGGGACAGTAGGTACCCTAGGAAGAATCAACTTCCCAGGCATTTCTGCACACAGATTATTTCATTTCATGCAGTGGTCATACTAAAAGGAAATCTTGATATCTAAAGGTCACACAACTCTTCTAATATGCTCTTAACCACTCTAAGTAACTCCAGTAAATTCTTAAGAGCCACCTCTGTACTTCTCACTTTACAGACACCTCTATCCAATCTCATTTACATTAAACTCTCACTCATACAGAACTCCAACATTCAACCAGTCTCAATATCTTTGGCAGGGGGTTAAAAATCTAGGAACAGAAGAGGGAAAGCCATGAGGCAGAGCCACAGAGACACTCAGGGATGAAGTGGCAAGGACACCCAGTTGTTCTGGCTTCCCATCCAATGTGCCAACACCTAGTTCAAATTTATACCTATAGATATTTATTTTTTACTTTTTCTTCCTGTTTTCACACAAACTACTGACTGAATAAACAGGAGAGCCACGACAAACCTAAGGGAAAGGAGAAGGGTGTTGTTGACAGGTTTATGTTTTCATGAAGGAATTAGCCTGGTGTAACAAGAAAATATATTTACTATTCTGAATTTCCTTGTTAGGGAAAAAGCTTGGGGAGTACCTGTAGACATTACATTAAAAACTTAAACACCATTAAGTATCTTAATTTAGACATTTAAATTACTCCTATGGGATGCCTGAGAAAATCCAGCCCGCCTTATGGCAAAGCTAATCTTCTCATCATATCTGTTTCACTTTTTATCCTTGTACCTGCCTGCATTAACAAGATTAAGAATTAACCTGGAAGAGGGTTGTCTGACAAGGAATACCAATTAATCTATTGATTTAATCATCAGAATAACCCTAATGGAGCTTCAGGTCTGAGCAAAATGAAGATGTTTATTGTATTATAATTCAAACTCTAGGGCATGTTTGTGGCAGGCTGTGTCACCAGACTGTGCAGAGGAAACAACTGAGAGGGCGGGAAAAGAGACTGGAGTTTTCTTTTAAAAGAACATTCTTATTTAACTGTTACAGCCAGAGGGAAGATTTTGCATGTGATTTCTCCACATAGTAAAAAAAGTTAGAAATTCTGGATTATTTGCAGATCCAAGCTAAGTCATTCGGGGAGCATTTAAAAAGGAGTGCACACACTCATCTTTGTGAAACCAGGCTCCCTCCATTCACAGAGCTTCATCCCAAGTCACAACTCTAAATTACATCACTGCTGTCTGATTAAAGGAGTTTATTACTACCTATCTCCAAGCAGAACACGCTAGTTCACAGAAGTTTCTGCACTTGCAGCAGACTTTGCCTTTTTTATTAATATAAGCTGCCACAACACACATGCTCAAGACAGAAAACTCAAAAAACATCCGTGTGCCACTGACCCGCTAGTGGGAATGAATGAATGAATGAAAAGGGGAAAACAGCGCAGCAAAATAAGTTGTTCGGGATTGGATTCATGGAGACACAGGAACACTTATTATCTGGAAACTGTTCTGAAGCTTTGCAACTTATCCCGCTTTGTTGATACGCTGAAGGCAACTGCTGTGAGAGGCCATCTCAAAGTTAGGGATAATCGACTCTTTGCTAGAAGATCAGATTGCAAATAACAAAGAACTCACAGACCAGTTTCATCTACCAAAAAAAAAAAAAAGAAAGAAAAAAAAAAAAAAGGTGCAAATATACTCAAAACATCCCCAGAGAGCAGCAGCAAGGCAGGCAGCGAATGGATCAAGCCGGGCACAGGAGAGCGGCTCCCGGCAAGTGACAGCCCTGCAAGGGAACAAACGCCGTGTGTTCCCAACTGACCGCACTTCCGCCTCCTCCCCTTCCATTCAACACTCCCTGCTAGGGATGCTCCCTCCATGTACATGACGTGCGGGTTGCAAATACTTTTGTCTCGGTGAGGAAAAGCAGGCTGGAGAAAACGTGTGGCCCCACGGTAAGTTCACGCTTATATTTGCTGGCACGGAGGGGGAAAAGCCCCTATCAAATAGGCTGCTCGATTAGAAAAATGCAGGTAAATATCGAGTATAATTGTGTGGAGCATGTGGATCTTGAGTAGATTCAGCAGGGGAGTGTGTGCTTAAGGAGCAACTGGGACAGCTGTGTACATCTGCAACCTTTGCTTTAAAAGCAGCAAATGCTGCAAGGTTAGAAAAAGAAAGTAACTTCCCCATTTTGCCCTTTGTACTGGAAGTCTGCTGCCCAAAGGCTATTGTTCCTGAATGAATTCAGCGTAGATAAAGTCAGCTGAGATAAACCAGAGCCCCTCTCCCCCCTCCTATTATTCAGTACACACTTCCCTTCCCACTAGCTCACAGTTCTGACAATGCAGGGAAAGAGGAAAAGAATGGCAGAGGGAAGCAGAGCACAGCTGTAAGTTGCAGAATCTCTCCATATTCATTTGCCAAACAAAGCCAGTATTCAAAAAGACAAACGAAGATGCAATAGGATCACACCGAATCCGTGCCTCTGAGCAGCGAGGGGCTCTCTAACAATGCATTCAAGCAACAGATAGAGATTTACCTTCAAAATGCAGGCCATGTTCTTTCTCTATCCTTCCTGCCACAGAGCAGCAGGATTCTACTTTGTGAGCAGCAGTTCCAGTGTCAGGCAAAGGGCTGGTAGAGCTGCAGAACTGCTAGAGCCCACATTCCTGTAGATCCAAATAGAGGTACCACGCATCCAGGATCCGTTAGTCATATTAGTCTTTTTATGCCCCGTTTGTTCCACCCATCAGCTCCTACCACTGGCTGGGAGCCAGCCCAGCACCTCCCCTCCGTCACATGACGGAGTTTGATTCATGGCTCCAGCGTGTATTTTCGTAAGCTCCAGGACGCTCTCGCGCAGCGCTGTACGTGCCAGTGGCAGTCGGTACCTTGCAGATGTTGTTGCAATGGCTGCAAATCAAGCTGCGTGTTTATAATTAATCCCTCTGCAGCTCTCTAAATGTCCTGGGAAGGCAGTTGCTGCCAGTTGGGCAGGAAAGTCCATAGTCTCTCTGCGTTATTAGGGCTCTAAAAATCCTTATGCTGCTTGTTAGAGTGCAGTAGTGTTTTATGTTCAGCCCTTTTCACCGTACAGCAGCCTTCTCTTTTTCTGAACTGCTGCCTTATGAGAAATAATCATTATCTGCAACCAACACGAATATCCCACCAGAGGTGCTTGTGTTGTGCTGTGCACACCTTTCTGTGTAAAGGATTGGCATCCATCACAGGCAGTGCAAAGCATGGGTTAGTTTGTGAGGATTTTTACATGTGCAAGTTGATAAAGACTCTCTGAACTTTCTTTGGACTTTCTTGTGCTGCAGTGGGACTAAGTGCAGATTAATAAATTCAGCTGTTGAAGAAATCTTTCACTTTACATAATCTCACCAAATTCAAATTCTCCCCTTATATACTATATATATCATAAAGGTTTCACTTCATATTTGTCACTTCTCTAGCTGTCTCTTTCTCCCCCTTTTTCTCAGTGCCTCTCATTACTACATCTTGGAACCCTTTGCATTTTTTTGTACTTGGCACCTTCCCTGTATTCTTTTCGTGCCACACTGCTTCACTCCTGCTGCTTTAATACACACCAGAGCTCTCCCTCTCCCTTAATAAATTCCTTGTAGTGGGAATGTTCATCCTCTCTGCAGCAACTCAGGGTTCTGTTTACATGCAGCCAATACACTCCGTTCACTTAATGAAACCTCTTACTACGGAGCTCCTCAATATGTGGAGGCCAGAAGGAGTTAGTGCTGCACTGCATATTTAATAACCAACACTCTTCCCTGCCTGGCAAGCCTCCCCTATCCAGGTGCAATACCTCAAGACAGTAAGTAGGTTGAACCTAAAAGAACTAGCTGTCCTCGTTTCTGTGCGGGGGTAAATCATCCCCAAGAGCAGAACAGAAAGGGGAGGGGGGAGGGTTCCTGCAGCTCACACTCCTTGGCTGCCTTCCTGTGCCTTTCCAAAGAAGAGGTCACGGTGTTTTTGGCCTTTGCACCACACCTCCAGAGTGCTGTAATTATATATACACATGTCCTGTAAACTTCTTGGCATCTCTCACCACTGGAAGTCCATCTCTTTGCTCAATTACAGCCATAAGCCAAAGCTGTTTAGCTGAAAATTGTGGTGGTGTTGGGGAGCCTAATGAAAAAAAACTTAATTGAGGTTTCTAAGTTGACTAACATAAGGAAATATCTAAAGCACAAATTAGTGGAAGAAGGTTGTAAGGGAGGGACCTTGTTTTTATTGGAAGCTACTACCAATTGGTGTTACATCGTGCTGGATAGCAGTTTATGCCTCTCTAAGTACTAGTTATAAGGAGCTCAGCAACAAAGCTCTTGTTTTTAATAAATAAGATAAATTATTCATTTTTTTCCTGATTAAAAAAAAAATTGTTTATTTTTCTCTCCAGTGGTCAAGAACCTAGTTTTTCTGGGACTGAGAATATTCCTTTCACCTGTGTGAGAAGTTTTCATCTGAGACAAATGAAAAATATTCCATCCCCTTCCCACTCCCCATTTTACCAACTCTGTCAAGAACAAGAGGAATGAGACTTGGAGAGAAACTGTCCCAAAAAGGTCAACCATTTCAACATGTGCAAAGCATTGAGCAATTTCCAGTGAATTATATTCCTTAAGGAAAGGCAGAGATGTGGGTAGGTGTCCTGTTTTAAGCATCTCTGAAATGCTTTGATTCTACACATCACATCAGACAAAATGTGGTGACCTTTAACTTTCAGACCTTTTGTAAATGGACATTTATCTTAAAGATACTTCATCATTACTTCACACCAGCAACAGCCATCCTTGCCTCCCTCCCTCTGTGACTCACCACAGTCCAAACACTTCATATTCACCTGTCTGCCTTTTTAAGGGCATAAAAAAAAAGTCATTTCTTAGATTGTATGACAGGTAACTACAGGTCCTCTAAATTCTCTTAGTGTGGTGAAAGACAGTCAAACAGATTTTCTGGAATATTAAGAGTGTTCTAAGTGGCCATTCCCAGCCAACAGGGATCCCTGGAGCAGCAGCAGCTGTTGTTTCAGAAAATGTTCTGATGATGGTGAGCCTTGTGAAACACTGTATTTGTTCTCTGCAAATGCAGGAGAAACTTTGGGGTTTTTTTCTTCCAGAAGTTAATTTAGAGAAAACCTAAAGCCCTGCCTTTCAGACAGATACACTTTTCTTTCAGGAGGGATATGAGATTTCTCTTTATTTTCTCCCAGGGACAAGAACTGAAGGTGTGACTCTAGCTGAGGTCACCACAAGCAGCAACAGCTGTCCAGGCTGAGCAAATTCCACCTGAGCGAAACTACACAAGAAAATGCATGCACCAAATGATAACAGCAAACAGCCATTGTAAGCACATCTTTTCCATGAGCCTCATAAAGTGCTTTACCTGAACTTATAACACTCTTGAAATCAGCTTTAGGTCAAACATAGCTCATGCAAATTTCAGCCTGCAACTTTCTGTCCAAAATTAACACAGTTCTTGTTGCCTGGTAGGGATGTTAAAGATGGTGTGAATCTACCTTTCAAGTCTGAGTCAATGTGACAAACCACACAAAGTCACTGCTTCTAGTTCTGAGGACAAAGACCTTGCATATTTGCCATCTAGTTCAAACCTTTCCAATACATTCCTACGGAGATGCTACCTTAGGGAAAACATGGTTGGGCATATTTGTTGTTTGGGCAGCAACCCCTTTCAATTCTCGGTCTTAAAAACTAGTTCTGTCATGATAAATCGATCCTTTGTGGAGAAGGCTGATTAAGCCTTAATTTGCAAAGATTAATGCAGCCACACAATACCAGCATTCAAGAAAGAGTTTTTCTGTCCTGCAAACGGGGGTAGTTCTGCTGGGCTGGGCTGTGCCATGAATGTTGCTCATCTGTTTTGTTTGGTGAATGGACACCACATCACTGATGAAGCTGCACTTTCACCTGTGATAAGAACCTCAAAGCCAAACTCTCACAAATAGGTAGCAGAATTAAATATTAAGTTAATTTGTTAGTCTCACACTCTGTATTTTAAAAGTGCACACTTGGAGAAAGTCTGGAAGCTGTCGTCTTCTCACTAATCATTGAAATGAGACACTGCTTCATGTAGTGAAAACATGCCAAAATGGAAGAATCTGTTTTAATATTTGCTGCTACTATGAAGTTTCATCAGACAGGTGAAGACAGGTAATATAAGCTACCCAGCAGCCCAGTGTAGAGGTAGAAGATGAGATGATAAAAAGACAGCAGGGTGCAATTTAAATGGGAAATCTTATCAGGTGATCTATCCAATTGTTACACGGAATTTTAATTTAAAACTCACAGTGATCCTGACTTTTCAGGAAGGAAAAAAGGCTGGAGTGCTTCATTTTCGAGGTGAAATCCTGCTACACCCGGGAGTCCAAAAGCTGAGGAGAACGTGTGGGACTTGATACAACCTGATTTTTACTGTTACATTTCAGAAAATCCTTACAGCTTAAAAAAAGCATGCCACATACACAGTAGTGAAAAAGCCAGTATATATTGCCCTGCCCAGCTTTCTGCCCAGCACTATTCATCTGCACCTTACTCAGCTGCACGACAACCACCATGCATTAAAAGAACCACAAACAAACTAACAAACAAGGTTTATTCATGGAATACTTCTGCATATTTTACTGGCAGGAGACAAGGATTGCTGGGCACCATTAGTGCCATTAGAAATTCAGCTCATCACCTCACTATTATTCAGTGTCATGGTAACAATTTAGCACAGCCACACAGCACTTGCAGACCTTGCATGTTCTGGAGTTTCCCCAGCCCCTTTCTAATGCACACATACAAAAACACTCAAATCCAGGCCTCCCACCTTTCCTTCAACTAAACATACCCAAAAAAAAAAAAAAAAATAATAAAATCAAGTGTTGGCTACACATGACCATTTTAGGAAAAAAAAAATTTCCTTTATTCTCCAACACAAGGCAAATCTTTGAAAAAGTAAATGCTGCACTATTTTATATCTATAGGATATAAAGGATATCATGTATCACATTTGCAATATTTAACTTGTACTGGAAGCACACAATACTGTCAACAAATATTTATCATTTAAAAGAAAATAAAAAATCCACAATATTTTTAAATGCCTGAATGCTCAGAGACAAACATCTGTAGAAGTCCCTGGAAGCAGAAAAAAGCAAACCCCTACAAATCAGAAATCCTTTCAGACTGTTGTGATTTTATTTTGAATGCATGCTCATCTGAGAAATTCAGGTTTCTGTTTTCAAAGCTGCTTATTAAACAATGATCATTTTACACTGAAATACAGATTGTGGGGCTTTTATATTAAGAAAAAACTGTATGTCATCTGTTATTTGTAATTTTTAAAAAATTAAATACAAATGTTTTAACAGGAAAAAATGGATTTTTTTTTTTTTTAATGTAGGAAAAAGCCCCAGAAACCATGCTTAGAGAAGAACATTGTCTGTTCCAGGCAGCTTTCCTCTAATTAAAACCAACTAAGCAACTCTGAAGAGTGCTGTGTCTGCTTATGGCACCAGATGTTTTGCCTGCATAAAAATAGTAAGATAAACAAACGTATAACTTGCTGTAGTCTTCAGGAGGATAAAACCTACCAGTAATATTCTGAAGGGCATTCAAAAGCTAAATGGTGTGTTTGAAAATGCACTGTCATTCGAAGGTAACTTTGCTGACTAGAGAATATGGTTGGTTCTTAGGTATTTCTTGCAAGTCCGGCAGTCAAGGACGTGTTTCGTTTTTCCACTATTGAGTTTTTGCATTCTCTGCTCAGTTACCAATGCCTTACACTCCCACTGTTTTTATGACATATAACCAACATCACAAAAACATTAACACCGTTTCACATTGAGACAAGTCTGTGTCAGTTTATCCTCGGATGGGGTTTTATCCTGGAGAATACAGCTGTGCACATCAAAGGAGCTCAGGGAAAGGAACCAGGACAACATCAATCAGCCTATTGAAGGCCCTAAATTGGAGGAGAAAATTTAAATCCAGCATTTCAGCTTAGGAGAATACCTTCTCCTGAACTAAAGGAGCAGAGATGTTCCCTGCTGTGCTTCCTCCACAGATCCAGCCAGCTCCTGTTCCTATGGGCTGAGCTCCATCATTATCCAAACTGCTTCTCTTCTACAAAAAAACACCCATCCCTATCCCTTCCCAAGGCTTTATCTAGTGTTTCTTTGCACTTGAAAGGGAAACCTTAAAAGCACAGCAGTAAAGACAAATTTGTTTAATTCAGGAGTGAATTAATTGGTGAGGGGGAAGGGTGGATTTTTTTTGACCCCTCTCAAGTAACATATCTAGAGGGTCTGACAGTGCTGGCACTGTCAGGTCTGAGCCCTCTTGTTCACCGTCCTGCTACACATCACACCATCACAAAACTCTGAATCCCAAAGCCCTGTCTTGGTGTTGGATGAAGAAATTGTCCTCCAGGGCAAATAAGTAAGTAAATAAATAAATATTTATTCTGGGAATGGGATGGGAACTCAAGAATCCTGTTTTTGCCAGGAAGGTTGTGAAGAACAGGAACCCATCTCTATTTCACAGGCTGGAAAATAGGGGAAAGACAGCCCCTGGCACTCACCTACTCAGTGTCCCATAAATTATCCTTTTAGGAACTGTGCAGACCCCATCGCTGTCAGCATCCCCTGAGGGTTCCTGGAGACCTTCCCCTGCTCTGGCTGGCAGAAACAGGGCTCTGAGCAGCAGCCACTGCTCTGCCATGAACAGAAAGCCAGAGGAATGTGCCATGGCACCAGGGACAAGAGATTCTCTGCCCTACATTGTCTTAGGAGACAGAGGGAGCAGCATGACAGCCGGGATAGACCAGCAGAGAGGCTGCGCACGGCTGGGGTACAGAAAAATAGGATCCTATTTTTTTTGCAGATTTCGCCTATGGTCCAGAACTTTCTAGTTAAAACCAGCACAACAGCATGACAAAAGAATTTTTTTCTAACCTCAGTCTCAGGTTTTAGAGTTCTTTGCAGCTACAGGCTCTTGTCAGAAAACCAGACACGTGTAACCAGAAATGCGTCCAATTCTGCAACAATTTATCACCTGCGTGGGCTCTGCCAAACTGAGAAGCACGCAAAGGGTATAAACCAGCACCAAGTGTAACTTGTGGTCGTGTTTCATTGAGAGTTATGAATTAGTGTTATTTTAGCATGCTATAAGTGGATCTGTGACATGATTACAGTAATTTTAGGAATACAAAAGTGTTTCACGGGGATTTTTTCTGTCTTGGATATATTTTATGCAGTTATGGCCCCAATGTTTAGACATGCAGAAAAAAATTCGTATATATATATATATATACACTACAAAATTAACAGGGGTGTCATATGGAGAGATTCACAGGAGATAGTCAGACAGTCCCTAGAACCCACCTATTCCTGTTTTTAAATCTCATTCTGTACTTGATTCCTGAGTTATGAAACCAGTCAAACTATACTGAAATCCAACTCTACTCCGTCCATTAAAATTCTCTCAATGAAATTCTGTTCTTGGCATATTCAAAGCCTTACCTAGCCACAGCACGAGAAACAATAAAAGCTGATTACAGATCTGGAATCACGAGCTTTACTCCTCTGAGTCCAAATAACCTGCTACCCTACTGCCCTGTTAAATCCACACTCTCCTTGGAGCTTTAAGAGGCACTTAACCAGCCATCACTCTGTGTCCTAATGCCAACAGACTTTGTTCCACTGGATACAAAGAGAAGAAAATATCTACCTTGTTATTAAAATTGCTTATACCCATGAAAGTTGCCAGTAGCAAAACTTTGCTGGGCTTTGAAGAGCCCATCTCAAACTGCGAACACATGTGCTCAAGAAAAATACCCTTCCATCTTCTGAAACATCTGACAGCTATCACACAAATTTTTAACAAGATCTACTCCCTGCAGTGCTTTGAATTAATAATTTTACAAGTTTGTAACTCACAACAGTCTTGCCTCTGACAGTTTTCTACACTGCTGTGTAACAGTGAACCAGAAGATAAAAAGATGCAGTTGTAAAGGGATTTAAGGTGTTCAATGAGTTAGAGAACTTGTGATTATTGCTTTATTAAAACAACCATTAACCTTGAAATTAAAGTGGTAGCATTGAACACAAGACTAAAGAAATGCAGGAATTCAGCCTGGATATACAGATCTCAGAATTTTTAAGTTACATGATCAGACCATTCTTTCCCCAGAGGAAGTTTTGAAGTTGTGGGCTGTTGTTTGCTTTGTTTTGTTTTTTAATTGGGGTGGGATTTCTTTTGGTTTTTTGTTTTTTGGGGGTTTTTTGTTTTGTTTTGCGTTTGTTTTTTTTTATTTGTTCTCCATCTTTTAGTTCAAAAGATGAAA